TTGGGCGCGGTCGAACGCGTCCTCCACCTGTATTTTTTTTTTTTTTTTCCTTCTTTTTCTTTCTCCCAAATTACATTTCGAGCTTCGAAACGATTATTGATATTTTATGGGCTGAGATTGGAAAGAGGCGAAATTCGATCGAATTTAACATGTTATCGGTGTGATATATTGTAGTGTTTGAAGTTAAATTTAGAACGATGGAAGGAGGGAGTCCAGCGTTTGCATAATTATCATTACGATATAAACAAGTGAGGATAGCGTTTTCGACGAGTGTCGTTTGTTATCGCTTCGCGTTTTATTAATAGGAATTTAATGGAAATTTTGCTCGTCAAGAAAAAAAAGAAATGATAGGAAAGGAAGTTTTAAATATAAGAAGCGAAAGATTGTCTTGTGAAAATTATAAATGAAACATCGATGCTTATTTATTATGAAACGAGTCTTGGAAACGATCGCCTTCGTAATCAGGCTACTATTTATGAGTTAAAGAGAACTAATTGCATTCATTTCGCGTGACGAGAGAAAGAAGTTATAAAAGTTTCCCATGTAAAAAGCAGAATCTTCAGAAAATAATATTTTCTTGCGTGTGTACAATTTGATGATACATTAAAGCATATATTATTGTTATATATTTACTCAAAAAAAAAAAAAGCAAATTTAACTCGTTACGTAGCTTCAAACTGTATAGAATCTTCACCTGCGTCGATCACAATTTTTAGGTTATGAAATTCTCGAACCAAAACTTTTCCAACGTTTCACCTCTCAATCTTAAATTTATATAAATCGAATTTACATAACGCTCTCGATGAAGGACTTCTCTCCAAGAACGATATTAATTAAATTTAATCACCGCTGGAACAGCGAAATAAAATCAAAAAAAAAAAAAAAAAAAAAATCTCTACTTCGTCGTAAGAATCGAACTTATTATAAAAGATAATGATGCACGGGGAGATAATTGCTTCGTATTCGAGATAAATTTTTCCAAGCATTCATCTAAATGCGTCGATGACATAGGGATACTATAGATTGTTGTGTATCGTTGTGACGTAACACGCGTTAATAAGATTCATTTATACGAAAACCCGTAAGAAACGGCCTGTCATGACACAATATTTGCATGGCTGGTGGTGCTCGAACGCAGTTATATTCGACGCTCGTCTGATGCAATGTCTATTTTTAATATGCGTCTTCGAGCATATTAGTTAGCCAGCGGATAGCTAGTTGTCCGATTTTACGAAACCGACGTGAACGAAATACCGAAAAAAAAAAATATCGATTTCGAGTAACTCGATCTTTCGTGTCGGCCGAATGTGACCGAGAGATGCGAAGTGTTTCGTTGTTGCGGAACGAAACGATCGAGTTTTTCGATATTATTTTAATCGATATAATTTTATCTCGCGAAAATAATAAATTTAATCGAAATATAAAGCTCAAAATTAATTAATTAAAATTTAAACCGATATAATTAAATTTTATAAAAAATTTTTATATTAATTTAAACAAGCAAATTGATAGATTGTTTATTTCTTCGATGGAAAGATTTACGATGAAAGATATTCTCAAATTCTGGATGCTGAATTACAGTTCATTATATCGAGCGATTTATATATTACGAGTATTACTTATTAGCATGTTTAATTATTAAATTATAAATCTCTAAAGAATTAAAATCATCGAGTAAGAGATTAAATAGATAAGAGAAGAAAAATTTTCTTTTTCCAAGAGACGCACGCGGTATGTCGCCGATTCCATTCATCGATCTCTGTTTTCCTGTTTTGAATCAAGTTACATCGCGATAGCCAAATTATTCCCGAGCGTAGGAGGGTAAATCGCATATTCCCTTATGTATGTTCCGAGTATATTTTCAGATGGTATCTGAAAAAACATTTCACGACACCGAACGAATAAAAACGAAGATGGTGACGGATCACGCGATGCAGAAAAGTTGGGGAAACTTGGAGCACCGTATTGTACGCCAGAAAAACTAACGATAATGCAGGAATAGTCTGTAATTAGCGATAATTTGGCAGAAAGGAGGTAGAATCTAGGAAAGCCTGTTTCGAAGATAAAATTTAGACGGTGAATTTCTCGATGAATTTTTTTTACCTTCGAAGAAATATTACCATCAGAATTAAAGTAAATTAATTAAATTGATTGCCACGAGATGGCACTAATCTCGACTGCAAGAAGAGAAGTGAATGCACGTGTGTTACAGAGCAATTTTTATTTTTAGCAATTTTATCTTGCATTGTCCTTTTTTTTGTTACAATTGAAAGTTTAAGATAAGATGAATTTGACAAAAATTTTCATTTGTAAATTGTGATGTTCATTTGTAATTGTTCTCAAAGTTTTAATATTTTGTGTTAATCGACATTGATATCAGTGTTGTATCGTTAAAGGACAATAAATATTGAATGTGGGTGAAAATGTATTCCGAAAGTCATGTACGCGGATATCGGTTAACATTGGAAGATCGTTTCGATTGCCAAACAGTGGTGAAACGTTGGCAGACGAGGTGAGCTCATTGCAAATGCGGATGCTTGGCAGAAATATCTTTGAATTATCGTAACAGGTGGTACAATTTGTTTCTCGAACTATAGTGGCATACAAATCCTGGAATCTGTCTTCCAACCTTGTGATTATTATCTTTTTAACAGATCGTTTCGATAATAATTTTTAACGTTCAAGTTTGCAACAGAAAAAGTTGAAACTGATTGATATATTTTGTAAAATATATGGAACATTTCTTATGCAATCATTTAACGTGAACACTTTTTGAAAAAATTACAGTGAAATTTCTTAAAGGGAACAAAATTGATATCGATTGTAACTTCCACGTGATTGCGAGATGGCCTAGAAATATTCATCGTGACGAATGTTCTTTTTATTTGCTCTTATTGCTTGCAATTTTTATCGGTGAATCGATCGTTTTATCGTGGCATTGCTAATTTTCTATACCTTTAAAAAACTTTAAGTTATGCGAAGTTTATCTGAACACGATAAAAAAAAAGAAAAAAAAAGAATCGTTTTTTGCTTGCGATAAAATTAGAAATGTACAGAATAATTTATTTTTACTTCGACGCGTAATTGATCTTTGTTCTTAGAACTTTATCTTTGACATTTTAATCTCAAAGACAGTTAATCCTTTACCTTTAACAATATTTCTATATTCGAAAGTGATTACTTTTAAATGAAGAATATGTTATATATATATATATGTGTATAAAGATTAAACAATTTTTGTCACGAATACATTCTAACGAAACGAAGAAGAGATAGCTCGAAAGAAGAAGAAAAAGAAATAATTATTTCGCAAATATTGATTTGGATATTTAGAGGTCGAATTCGTGGCGTCCTTCTGCCGCCATTTTCTACTGCTTATTTTATTTCTCCCTAGATTCTTCCCTCCTTTTATCCTTGCACGCCATCTTTTATCGCGAGATACTAACCAACTGATTCCGGCCAATGAGCTTCGTAAAATATCCTCGTATTCCGGCTTTATCGCCGTTCTCTCTCATAACCTAGTTTCCCCGTATATCCATATTACTTGACGGGTTCTATATTTCACCCTTATTCTCCTCGCCCTTTCCGTTTCTGGGGACGTTATACGAATTCGTGTACGTGTGCAGAATTCGTTGAATTATTCAACGGGGAATTGTATACATACGCACGATTTTTTGTGAGATAATGTTCGTGGATTTGATATTTTTTGGTCATATGGAAAATGTATTTATTATATTACACATAAATTGTACACTAATTGGATAAAAATTTGAATTTCATTCCTTTAAAAACTTTCTAGAAATAATATGTACATAAAAATTGACATGTGTAATGACAGAATGTATATGTATATCTCCATCGAATTGTACAAATAGTAATGCAATTGGAATACATTCTTTTGCATTTAAGGATGAATCACATATAGTTTAATTAAAAATAAATATTCTTGATGAGAAATTAAACTAAATTTAAAGTTTCTTATTTTTTTTTAATAATTTTTTTTAAACAAGAGCATATATAATAGTATTGAAAATCATTTAAGAACATTAAAATTTACTAATTGAAATGAAATATCACAACAATTTTTTATATCACACATTATCTATTAATATCTATAAATATCTATAAGATATGATCAATTTATATTTCTTTACTCTCAAATTAGATACATTTTTCTTTGTTTTTATATTTTTTAGGAGACTTATCAATTGCTTTAAAAGTATATTTATTCACTTTTTATGTTTACAATATTGATAATATATCTGTATATATATTTGTCTGATGCAAATTATCGACGGTATACATCATCACGCGATAGAAATATGAGCACCTTTGCATTTTAAGAAGATAAGAAATTTGCCGATGTATATATATTTCTATAAAATATGTTGCTAGTACGTGCCACCCTTGTACTTTGAATGTTATCGCATTAGCTGACCACAAGCAAAGCAATGTCGATGGTTTTTAACATGCAGCTCGCGTGATCGTAGAAATGGGTCTGTCCTGGCTGATTTATTAATACGGACACTTAATCGAACGGACGACCTGAATTCTTGCCCTTGTATGTACGAAAAAAAAATTGATGCATTCTCCAAATGCATATTAATCAATCTATCTTGTTTCTCTAAATTTACCAAAAACATTTTACTATTAGTATTGTATAATATTTTTGATCAATATTTTTGACGTTAATGAACTTTTATAGATATATTTCTCTTGTAAAGTTCGAAAAAAGAAAAAAAAAAATCATCGTTCATTTATTATATATTTCGTCCTCCAATAGAAAATTTTTTTTTCCTTTATTTCAGTGAAAGTTTTATTATATTATTTAAAGTTTTATTGGAATTATTGTAATAATATTAAGATTAAGATGAAGAAGAATTATACACGAATTTACGATATATTGTTACGAATATGAATTCATCATCGATTGTAGAAAATTATAATTCTAAAATTATTTTTAATTTTTAAAGCGTTTCATTCAATCTTTTTTTTTTCAGGTCCATGCAAAACACGAAGAGAAGACAGAGAGTAAATCGGTGTACAGAGAGTACAATCGCGAATTCCTGCTGCCCAAGGGAACCAATCCCGAAAGTATCAAGTCTTCGTTGAGCAAGGATGGCGTGCTCACCGTCGAAGCTCCGCTTCCGGCGATTGGTACAGGCGAGAAGCTTATCCCAATTGCGCATCAGTAGATGCCCAATCGACCAGTCGAACGCACGAAAAAAACGAATTTTTAAAATCCCCTTCGAAATTCCATCATTCGCGTATCCATTAGATCGCTTCCTTCCTATCTTTTCTATGTGAATCCATCAATTCCTGTAAAATCCACTTTTTCTTTTTTTTTGTAATTTTCCTTTTCTTCAAGT